CCCGGGCTGGGGATTCGAACCCGCCACCTTAGGTGTATGTGGCTGGCGCCTTAGCCGCTTGAGCCACAGGCGCCGAGCCCCTTCTTCCATTGTTTAGGGTATCTTCTCTCTGCCTTCCCCAAGGTGGGGATTTACTGTTCCTACCTTTGTTTGCATAACTCTTACTCTTTCTTCTTGATTTACTTGAGAAGACATCTCTTCTAGCAAGTTTTCCTAGTTTAGCTCTCTTTCCTGTGAGTTCCCATCAGCATAGCACTTAATCATTGTTTTAGAGTTTTCTGTTTATTTTTCAGATAGTGGACTTCAGGACAGGAATCTTACCTTTTCAGCTTTGTATTTCACCAGTCTTGGTACCTTGTGTGAAGGACTGATGACAAATGCTTACCTAATAGAGTTAAAAGTGAAGATTTAGAAATACATACCTGTAATGATATTTTTCATCTCGTTTTTGATTGAATGTAAGAATAATGATAGTGAAATGTTAGAGAAGAGAAAAGCCTCAAGAAACTGAGTAGAGCCAGAGAAACAAATATTAGTTTTCTCTGTCCATCTTCATATATGTAGATAATTCTAAATTAACACTGATAACAAAATGTGCTTTGAGTAGCTTTTGTACTCTCAATTTTCCTGTGGCCAATGGCGTGTGTTTTTTACCTCGTCAAACAGTGAAGACATACTTTCTATAAATTCTTAATGAATTTTGGGAGATAATATGTTGAGAATTTCTGTTAAGTAGATTGGTGGTGTAAAATGTGGTTTTTGAAAGCCTGTAAATCCAATATAGATATAAGTTTTTATCCTAGAAAGTCTTAAAAGTAGACCTTTTATAACTTCTCTGGATAAAACTGGGAAGCTATTTATATAAGGCATTGTTTTGGACTGGCTATTAGTATCATAAAAGGATTTGATGGGAAGAACTGAATGTGAAGGACATTGAGCTATTTCTAGATAAAGGTATGAATCTAAATATTGTTGTAGAAGACTACTTATGATCAATGATTTGGCATTCTAATTTTGTATTTATATTGTAGTCAGTTGATAAATTTTGACATCCCATGTGACACCCAAATGTGTATATTCTTGTTTTTCTTGCATACACACAGACACCTGAGGCTTTTGTATGTAATGAAGAGCAGATAAAAATGAAATAAGTATTATAGATTCATTAAGTTTGCTTCAGAATTGTTTGTGGCATCATGTATTACCGTGATTAGTGACTCAGTATGATTTTTGTATGTAATGTTTTCTCTCTGGTTATTTTGTTATAATAATTGTTCCTATGAAGAGTAACTGTGCAAAATGAATTTGCCTGTTCTGGGTAGATATTTGTGATGAATGAAAAAAATAATTACTTTTTCTTTTCTTTTCTTGTATTTCTAAAGAGCCAAACTAACATCAGATGCAGAGAAAGAATCAGTGATGATGTTTGGACGCAACCTTCGTCAGCTTCTCTTAACAAGCCCTGTACCAGGACGCACCTTAATGGGAGTGGATCCTGGTTATAAACATGGTTGCAAATTAGCTATAATTTCTCCTACCAGTAAGTTGTCAGCTTTTCATTTATAAAAGTTGTTTGGTTGGTTATAAGTTTCACTTCATGTATTTCATGAGGATTTAGAAATAATGTTAATTTTCAAGGCTTAGAAAATGATTGTCTCAGATATAGGAATATTGGGACCAGAGAATCAAAATTCATATTTCTGTTATCTGTTAATTCAAATCCTTAACATGTGACCATTATTTATAGCCTTCCTTGTGTCTCAATGGAGATGCTGAGGATTAACTAGGCTTAAACTTGACTCTTACCTAACATCAAACTCTATTTATTGTGATAAATTTATACATGATATGTTTTAACTCTGGATATATTTTATAAGAAATACTAAGATATTTTTATTGTTTTATCTCATCGATACTATTTTCTTATTTACTCATATTTATCTATTACTTTTTATTTCTTTCTACATTTCTGTGTTTCTATTTGGGGGTCATTTTCTTTCTGCCTCAAGAACTCAGTGCCATTTATTATTACTTTTTTTTTTTTTTTAATTTTTTGAGATAGGGTCTCAGTCACGCAGGCTGGTATGGTATTCTATCATCATAGCTCACTGCAATCTCAAACTCCTGGGCTCAGGAGCTCCTCCTGTCTTATATTCCTAAGTAGCTGAGATTACAGGTGCATGTCACCAAGCTCAGCTAATTTTTCTATTTTTTGCAGTATCAGTGTCTCAGTATGTTGTTTAGGCTGGTCTTAAACTCCTGACCTCAAGTGATCCTCCCACCTGTAATCCCCAAGTGTTGGGATTATAGGTGTGAGCCATCACGCTTGGCCTTCTGTGCTATTATTATTATTATTTTTTTTTTTTGAGACAGAGCCTCAAGCTGTCCCCCTGGGTAGAGTGCCGTGGCATTACAGCTCACAGCAACCTCCAACTCCT